CCTGCTGTTTACACTCAGCAAACGAAATTCCCCAGATACCTCAGTTTATCACTTCCAGCTGAAAGGCCACGGTGCTCATGAAGCACATCATAACTAAATGTCACTAAGTAAGAATACAGCTACAAATGACACAGTTACACGCTAAATGCTCTTAGAAATCTAAGTGTCTTTGTAACTTATGCTCTAGCACACCTTGTTTCAAAATTTTGAGTTATGTGAATTGGGAACTATTGAATACTTGAAAAGTATGTTGAGGGACTGCTTTGGAATTACAAAATAAGCATGTTTACTACCCACTGTTTTATAATTAATGGAATTTATTAGTAATCTTTGGATTGTAAAATCAATAAATAGGAACTGTCGCCTGTTGAAATGGTATCTAACATGATAAACCCACGGTATAATGGGGGCTCAGAATATCAGTAAACTTTTCATATCTACTACCAATCTGGATATCCAAAATACAAAAAAGCAATTGCAAAGTTTCTAGAAATGCTGAAAAAATACTAAGCTTTTCAGTAATTAAAAAATAAAAAAAAGGAGTAAAGCAAAAATATTAGACTGACACACGTGCTTACCCCTCCTTCATGTCATTAATAGGGAGTGGAACTCTCCCTCCTCTGTCGAGGGCTGAAGTAATGTTTATGGCATTCAAACGTTCCGGCTGCCACACATTTTTCACTGCTCCAAGAAAGTCGCCAAGAACTTCACTTGCCAACATTTCCTCTACATTCATATTCCTTATGAAGAACTCCGCTTGATATGGTAAAGGAAAATCTAGTTGTGATGAAAAAGGAAGAGTTTTCCTTTAAACAAAGGCTCCATAACAAAGAATTTGAAGTAATGATTAATGTAATATCACTTTAAGATTGATACACCTTTCAAAAAATGTTGTATTTGAACTAGCTCATTTTGAACCTAATGATTATGTTTAATTAAATAGTTAGTACTATTAGCTGTTACTTAAGCTGAAAACCATTGGCTATTTATAAAGCAACTGGGAGATGAAGCAGACTAGAGAACAAGAGTCTCAGCTGATAGATCTTCATTAAACAGATAAAATGACATTCATGCAAATCCGATCTGCGGTGACAATGGATTCCAACCTGCAATACTCCAGATTATAAATATATAAACATGATGAAGAGAACTAATTTTAAAAGACATAAACTATTCAAATTTTTTTAATTGAAATGTCCATGTACGCCATAATCTGTTGCTTTCTGAATCTGCCTATACGATTGTTCTCTGCATAAAGAACAGGCAAAGCTAAGCAAACTAAACACCACGCAGAGAGTAAAGTCCTAAGTCCTTCATGTAAGGTCCATTTGAAAAAACAGGAAAAAAATTTAAATTGATTATAAAAAAAGCAAACTTTTTTTTTTTTTAATGAATGAGGAATAATAGCCTTACCTATATACCTTACCTAAATAATTTAGGTAAAAATAACAAATTAAATCAAAAGAGGGAAAATTCTCCTATTTCCCCTTTGTGCCCCCACATTTGGCTTGAACACCAGACAACTATTTTACATTAATTTTTTAATCTTAAAAGAATAGGAGCCCATAAGATGTTTTTGCTTATTCAGTTCAAAGCACAAGAAGCAATCTTCTGTACGTACCTTCTGCTGACATTATATTAATGATCAAATTATGTCTTGCTGTCTCAAAGGTACGCCTGTTATATGCAGTGATCTAGAATTTAAAAAAAAAAAAAGATATGACTGCAGAACAACAATGCAAATATGAAAATCAGGTAAATGAGACATCAATGAAAATTAAATTGATAATCGATAAATACCTTTTAAATGCTTTGCCTCCGTATTTTGAAATGTATGAACATTCATTCATTAACATAAAATTTGAAAAGATGATTGATTTAGTTGATGCAGACTACCTTCAAGTCAGGATACTGAAATTTTCTTGACCAGCCTATAGCCAAATACAATTATCCAAGGGATATATGTGAATAGATATATTTTGGTCCAGATAAGAGTGTTCTGCCATACATGTGTATTCTTTCTTTTCTGCTATCTTTGATTTAAGAACAACCACAAGTAAAGACTGCTTTCTCCATTTCCCCTTCCACTCTCCACCAATACTGTATGATCTACATCCATTGATAGCTCCTAGGGAACTAAACCAGATAGATGGAGGTATTTAAAGGAAAGAGTTTTGGGCTCCCAGCAACTCTAATCTTTGGGATTTAGTTTTAGCTCTAGACTCACTGAAGTCATACTCCATGAATGGATTCACAAACATTGCTCCAACACAAGTAGTTTCTTAAAAAAAATCATGGAATCTGTAACTGTAGGGGAACTGACAACTAGTAGGTAGATGCAACATTCATAACTCTAATTTTTGGAAGCTTATGCCAGAGTTATCAAGCATTGGAACAGTCTGCCCAGAGAAGTGGTTGAGTCACCATCCCTGGATGTATTTAAAAGATGTGTAGAAGTGGTGCATAGGGACATGGCTTAGTGGTGGACTTGGCAGTGCTAGGTTAACAGTTGGACTTGATGATCTTAAAGGTCTTTTTTCCAACCTAAAGGATTCTATGATTCATGATCAAATTACGGAAGGATACCAATCTAATAGTTTAAATGTACAGGATGCCTGAAACGCTCCAAGTGGTTACTCCTCAGTGGTGACTGTACTCTGAAGTTGTAATGTGATTAAGTGCTCATTCATAAGAAATACAGAATGAGGCTGGATATCAGTATAATTATGTATTATTTTCTCTACTTTTTTTTTTCCTGAAAGGTGATAAATTTGTCATAAACCAAATAGGAAAAGAAGGCTAGCTTTCTTCCTAATTTTAGACTTTAGTTCATTCATTTCAGAGACAAAGGAGAGGCAGAGGAGCGGCAATAGTGACAGAACTATGTTGCTTCTCAGCAAAGAGAGCTACAAAGCATTGTGACATTGATTGTTAAACAAACACAAGTAATAGATGTTGCACTTCTAAGGGATTTAAATTAAAAGGAAAAATGCTGTGGAATATCTTCTGCAGGTTCATTGAAGTGTAGAGGGAAAAGCTTACCTGACACAATTATGTCTTATGTAATGTAGCAATTTCATTATAAAACTAATAGAAAATAAATTCCTGAGATTTTTCAAATCCTCGATTCTGTTAATTTTTCAAAGGGGTGTTTCAATAGTAGTTTAAAAATTAATACTCAGAAAAGCTAACTCTGGTTGTACAAACTCTATACAGGAACCACTCTGAGCCTGCACTCCAGCTGTGAGTCTCCAGTGTGGACCATGCACCTGTACCAAGAAATCCTGACAGTGGCGGAGATTGCCTTTGGACTGAATATTCATTCAAACACAAACCCTCTTTGTGCAGCTTTCAAAGGAGCTTGAGCTCAAGAATGTTACCCACTCTACTGCAGTGCTATGCATAATCATACAATCATAGAACAGTTTGGGTTGGAAGTGACCTTAAAAATCATCTAGTTCCAATCCCCCCCCCTTTTCTAATCATGAGGTCTCCTCCTATTAATTGACCTACCCATGACATCACCTTAGGAATTACAAGATGATGGAAGTTATATTCAGGCCAAGAATATGCAACCACTCCTCTCAGATGGCACTAGGAAGTCAATCAAACGCAATCCGCCCTCCTCACGTACTACAAAATTAATTTAAAACCTACAACTGAGAGGGGTCTGCAATGAATTAATTTGTATGCTAGGAAAGATTAGTTCAAATATAGGCTTGGGGTCATGCTTATAATGGAGGTCTTGATATAGATCCTAGAATTTAAAAGCACATGCCATTTAAAAAAAGGGTAATTTCAAATAACAGTTCCCTCCACAGAAAGCTAAGTGGAGTCTGCAAGTACATCTGCACAATTGATTTTACAGATGTAATTTGAAATCAAAACTGAATCATGTATACAGAATTAAGCACGGGTGAAATTATCTACAGTATAACTACATTTAGAGATGTCATTCTTGAGGAAGAACTCTATCGAATGCAATTTAGAAAAAAAGCAACTCATCAAGACAAATATACTGCTGAAACAGCAAAATGGCTGGAGCAAGTTAATGAGCAGATTTTCCTTAACACGGTGAGCCACACAGTGTCTGATTCAGTGTGCTGTCTGTGATATGCATGGCAGAAAATATAGTCTTTTTGCCCTTTCAATTGCTGCTCAGTGAATAATTGGCGCTTTTAAACATTTGGATAGCTAATTGTTAAAAATAAAGCAGTGGGTTTTGTCATTGTCACACTTACAAGAACAGAATTAAATACATGTAAGTGCTAATTAAAATTAAATCTATCAATAAACATGAATAACGAACCAGATAATATTTGATGAAAATTAATTTAGAACAAAACAAACCAACCAACCCAAAAACTGTTTTTTGACTGAGCGGTATATTTTCCAGTGAGGAAAAGTGTGACCCATATTTAGGGTAGAATGTTACAAAGTTCAGAATAAAGATATTCTTCAAGTACAGTTATTTACCAAGTTTCTCCCCCCCCCATATTTTGAATACAACTTTAATATATTCATAATTTACTGAAACGAAATGCCTCTTAGAAAGATGACAGGCAAGAATTTAAAGGTATTTCATCTAGGAATAATAAACTCAAATGGTTATTGCTATTCACTAGTTATACCTTAAAAGTAAAATATGAAGTGTCATACAACTTGGCTTTCTCTCTGAAGAGGATACAATGGTACCCAAGAGAAAATGTTAATGCCACAAGTCCTTGTCCCTGCCTTATAATCCTTTATTTTTTAATTGTAATTGACTTTTTAAAACAAGAAGCAATGCTTGATGAAATTCTGAATCTTACACTGTAAAACAAAACAAATCTTTTTGAACCTTTAAAAGAAAATACCTCAATGATGGTTGGTTTGCCCACATTTTCTACAGTTGGTGAGCCATACAGCACTCCATCACTGTACGGTGTCCTTTGTATATAGCGCAGCCATCCAGGTCTGTCAGGGTAACCCATTAAGTTGGTATTAAATGTTATAGGATCATTACTTATTTCACCTAGACAAGAAAAATTATATTAGAGTATTTACAAGAAAATACTATACACATCAATGTTTTCGTTAGAAAACCTTATTCTGTCTTCCAAGTTATGTCTTTTAAACATTTCCAAAAAGAAAAAAAAAGAAAAAAAAAAGAAAAAAAGGGCAAAAAAATTGCTAACCTTCACCATATCAGAAATCTGTGAACTCCTATTCAGCTTTTGTAAATATTAAGAAATTCATATCTGAAAAGTGTAACCAACTGCAGAGATGAATGTACTTGTACTTCTTAGAGTCCTGGCTAACTCATTAAATAGTAGGTCTGATTTTGAGAGCTCAGCTCCACATAGAATTGAAGCAAAAGCGCAAAGGTCTCAGTCCTTTAATTCCCCCAAACCCCGTCTTTTATGTATGGTTTTAATAATGCTCTGGAGACCCAATGTACCTGGGCGGGCTTACTGTGGAGTGGCTGTGTACTCATCAATATCTGAAAGCTTCTCTTAGCATCAGGATAAACATACAGGTCTTCAGCACCAACAGCCTGGCAGTAGTTTTTCTTTAGAGAACAAATTCACTCTGCCAGTCCCTGTTAGATGAAATGAAGACTCAGGTATACATGTCAGGAGAAACATCCATTTTTCAAGGAGAGGAAAATTTCGAAACATCTCATTTTATTAATGAGAAAATGTAACCAATGCTAACAGAAGCTTATTTTTTCTTTAAAGTAAGTTTTGAAAACAGTATTCTCAAATCAATTCAAAAGCTTATTAATGAAACAGGTTTTGACTATGTGTGTACTGTACATTTATTATAGGTTTTTCCTATTTTTATAGGAAAATAGGATAGTGATGTTTATATAAATAGGATATATTTATATATTTATTATTCCTTTTTATTGTTGATAAGCACGTGGGGCACAATGTTCTCTCTTTCTCTTCCCCCTCCCCCCCGGATTGCTTATACATATTCTAACCTGCCAATGATCAATCCTTCAGGTTTGCCTTAGGTAATGTCAAAACATCATACTTGGGAAATCACAGCTCCTTCTCTAAAAACAAACTCCTTACTAACATTAAACCGTTCCTAAATATAGAAAGAAGGCTGAATCCAAAGGAGCATTTGTTTTAAATGAAAGAAAACATCATTATGTAGTCTCGTACTTGAACTTATCTTCTATTTTGTCTCAAGTTTATTACATTCTTTCAAAGTGCTCCTTCACATAGCTTGATACATACTACGTCTGAAACAGTGATAAGTGGCATTTTTAACAGACATAATTATTAAACTTCCACAATTTCATATTTAATGTGAAAGTGGAAAAAAGGTATACTTCCTAATTTCAGATATATAATGTGTTATTACACCTTCCCAAACAATATTATAAAGTATATTTTTCACAATACACAATTATATGCATATTTTCATAAACAATGATCACAAACCAGAACCTTTTAAACTTGCAGGATCACATATTTTAGTTCATTTGCAGATATTTCAACAGCAACTAAGAACTGTCTTTTGTATGTTATATGCAGAACTGTAAGGTATGCTAAAAAGATGTATTTTAAAACTTTTTTTTCTACATTTTTATATAATATGGAAGCATATAATATCTTAGCATCCCATACCAGGCTTTGGGTAAGGAGGAAATTCCCCCTTAAAGTACTCTCTCTCCAAAACATGAACAAAAAGAACTCCAGCAGAAGGGTATACATTCCGATCAGAGTGCACCTTAGACAGAATCGTGTACACTGAAAAGCAGAAGGAAAGATAAGAGACAGAAAAAAGCAAAAATGAGACATGCTCTAGATAATACAGCATGCATTTCAACAGCACCATGGGCAATCTGGGAGCAGGAAAGCAACGAATATTAGATACCTGTTAATAAGTTTTTAAAAAGGTTACATAGATTTAAGAACAGAACGCAGAGCAAAGCCCCTCTTTGCCCAACAGGATCTCTTCCAACATGGCAATAAACAAAACCAGCTATGTTAGGATTTCCGGAGTTGCCCGAGCTTTTTATTTTTATTGCAATTTAAAAAAAAAAAAATTATGGAGGCTATTGTAATTTTATAGCTGGTTTATTTGCAATATTACATGAATAAAAATGCATTAACTGAATGCTACAATTGTGTTTTCTTGATATTTTACATAAAAATAAGTAACATGAGAAATACAGAGCAACTCTGCCAATCAATGGTACTGATTCCTCCCTGAAAGGAAATGGTAGATTTTTTAATTCTTGTGCAGAAAAGGACAAAGCAATTCACTTCAGCGGAGGATTTCTACAAGTTCTTAAAGCTAACCTTTCTTAGACCAGCAAGTTCAGATAATGTACACCTAAAAATCTGGTTAGAGCTCATTATGGAAGATGTGCTTGTATTGAAGAATAAACCAGAAGGACTTGGACAAGTATAGACCAGTCAAGTGTCACTGATTCCAAACAAAAAAATAAAGCTCTATTTTACAGTACTCAAGATTAAAAACCTAAAGGAAACTTAATTCAGAACCCCCACCATATGTAAAAGCAGTATGCTATTTTTTAGGTAGTTAGTTACAAATTTAGTCGATAAAGCAAATCTTATTTAGGTATAACACATCTGACACAGTAAGATATTCACATTTTAATGAATTAGAAGAATACAAAAATCATTACAATACATTAAATGGATAAGAAATCACTTTACTGACAAGTTTAAAAATTTAATTATAAATGGAGAATACTGATCTAACAGGTATTTCTCATGGTGTCTTAACAGGACACACTGTAGGTCATACTACTTTTCCATATCAGCATTCAATTTTAAGTCAATACCCTGAAAGAATCAATCTTTGCTGATAATTTTTGTCAATGAGATGAAAATTACACAAGTGGTAAATAGAGTCACAGATACAGAGACACACAGCTACCTGCCTTGCTTGCTAAACTGAAAAGAACTTTATGAGAAGTCACATCTCCGAACAAAGATTATAGGCCATACACCATGAGGGTAGTGTCATAAGAAAGAGTGCCTCCAAAAGAGACTTCAGAGTCCTTGTAACAAACTCGTATCACCTAAAATATAAAAGGGCTAACTTCAACACTTGGATTAAGAAGCAAGATACATTTGAAATGTGGATCAAGTTCATGTAATTTTCTAATTCTAGTATAATTTCTCCAGCCTTATCATTATACCAACTTTCTTACTTGAGATCTGCTTAAAAAGGAACTGCTAATTAGGCATTAATCACAGACATTCCATCCCTTGCACCACGTACTCCGTGTGGAATCTATCTCACCTAATTTTAGATGCCTACAGAAACAACATCCACCACTGAGTTAGTCAGGCTCCTTTTATAGTCAGTGGAGAAGAAACAGACGCTTCTAGGGGTTGATTAATTTGATTTCTCCTGTAAAATGAGATGAATCATGTCCTAGATTCCAAACTACACTGACTAGATCTCCACTGACTGCAGAGGCAGCTGAGAGGAGATGCAGACATCAGTAATGTAGACCTCCACATTTAGTTACATACTTCCCACTCTTCGAGCCTGATATACTGCAGAATTAATAGTCTCAAGCTCTGGATACACTATTGATCAAATTCCACAGTAGTTGCTTTTTCCCACTTTTGGAAACCACTTTTAACACAGTACTGGATGGAGTCTCTTTCTAATAATTTTACCTTAAAGACAAAATTAAACTAGATCCTGAAATTTACATAGTTAATTACAATTTTATGTTAATAAGCCAGTTACTGTAATTTTAATTATGTAGACTAAAGTACAGTAACATAGCTATTTGATTTGTATAATTAAAATTAGTAAATTGGTGACCCAAAAAACTTTTGCACTCACTTCTGTGACTGAGCAGTAAATAGAGCAAGGAAGCTAATTTCTTTTAAAATATTTTCAAGAAAAGCTGAAAAGGTAATTTATAACACTGAGCAGAAAAGCTGACAAATGTATGGTGGCTGGCCAAAAATGCATCAAATATATATTAAAAAAAAATCAATTTTTCCATTTCTTATGCTTAGACTCTCCACTGAAAATCCATTTCAAACAGGAAGAACAATGAAAAAGTAGTGTATATTTCCTCATTAAGAAATAGTTTTAGAAAGAAGGAAGGATAATACAATCAGCAGCTACTGAAAAAACCCCATATAACATATTTCTTTTGTTTGTTAGAGGAAATCTATCGCCACCACTAAATGCCTGCCCATTCCCGGTAACAAGATGTTCTCTGTTGCTGAAGTAAGCATACCAATAAGGGTTTCATGCAGATACAAGAGAGTGATCTTTGTGGAAGTCATTTTTAATGCCTCTCAGAAAGAAAAAACCCACAAACTTATTTTATCTTATAATGACAAACACATTGTAATGACACAAGTATGGAGATTAAGAATTTGAAAGTTCTCGCCCTCCTTGTCAGAGAAGCTCTCTTCTTTTTCCCCTATGAAGCTCCTTTGAAATCAGAAGGAAAATGATGAGTCTTCAGCCCACTACAGCAATCACTGCTTTTCAATAATGAAACAAGTCAAATGCTATTTTCTTCAGAAGCGTTTAAAACCCACAATTATTTTCATAAGACTGCCTGAGACAGGAGATGAATGTGTAATCATCTAGGTGATCTAGGGATGAAATTAAATATACTTACCAACTTCTAGATAGTAATCTAATACAGCAGACTGCCAGATGTGAATTGCCTGGGCAAATTCCCTGTGGTAGATCAAAATCTCGGGGGCTGTGAAAGGCTTCTGTAAAACTAACCATGGAAAATCAAAAATCTTCACTACATAGGATCACAACAGATCCCTGCCAGAAAAAAAGACAGTATCAGCTATCTCAACAGCACTGTTTTCTCCTTTCTTGTTTCCAGATCCCTTGGAGGACTTCCTGTATATTTCAAGATATATCTGTGCAGAAAGGTTTGAAGTTCTGGAGATTGGGAAAGAAGTAGATTAACTGGGAACTGAAGGCTGGAAAACATGCATCACTTTTTGAAACATATACAGAAACTGTCCCAGTTGTTCCTTCTTGTAGGTCTTGAACATGGGCACAGCCATGAATTCCGCTAGGATTACATCAGCCTCCAGCCCAGAGCCTGTTATCAGATACAGGTGACCCCCGTCTCCAGAAATTTCAGATTTACCATGTTGGTTGAAGCCTGTATGTTGATGATCTTCAGAAAAAAAAATCCACCTGGAAATTTCTTCTGGAAATTTCAATGGGTTCTCTCCCCACTGATTTGTAGCAGATGAAGCACAATCCCAGAAATAATTTGATTTGGGGGCCTGTCTAGATTGCTTGCCTGGACAAGCAATCAGTGCAAAGCCTTTTCTCAGCTAGTGTACACTAGCTAAAATATTCTACGTGTACTTGCATAAATGACAGTAAACAGTGTTTTTACATATGTACATAAAAAGATTTTTTTAAATTGTTACAGACAAGTTATTGTATTAAGCAAAGGTATCTCCAAGCAACCAGCCGTGATAAGAAAATGTGCAATATTAGGTATACACACAGCCGTTATTTCAAGCAAAGCTATAGGAACAGGAAAAGTTGGGGAAGAGTCACAAAGACACACAGGTCTGTGAATGTTTAAAAGATTGAAGAAATGTAAAATTTTCCAAATTACTTACCTTGAAATAGCACCTTATTCCTAAAACAAGTACATGACTGAAAAAGCAAGAGTAATATTAAAAGCAGATTTGACTGAACCAACATGGGATTTAAATTTACAACCTAAACTCACCATTCTTCTCAACAGCCTTTATTCTGCTGATAATATAACTGTGGGCTTGCTTAGTCGTCCAGTTAACTGTTCCATTATTGCCATCAGTAGGGCTTAACAAAAAAGCTTTTCAGAATAAAACAAATGCAAAAAAAAAAAATTAGTCAGATCAATAGACTCCCACAAACCAAGTATCAGATGGGATCAGATGCCTTCTAAATCAGGTCTTGGTTTTAGTCAGAGTTTAGGAACCTCAGGTTAAAAAAAATGGTGGCATTTGATTTGAATATATAAACATATAATAATCTTTCTGACAGTCACCTTTTTAACACTCTTTTTTCCAAATAAACTAAGTTTACATTAAATGTGTAAACCTCTGCAGACACTTCTGTTGACATAATTGTACTGATAATAAAGAGCATTCTCTGATAAATATATTTGCAATGGTAAAACCTCGTATACAGGCAAAGACATATCTAAAGTTACTTTCACTGGCATAGTGTATTTTGGCCAAAGTAGGGACAGTAATATAACCAAGAGCACAGCTTTGCTTACGTAAAGATGCTTTGCTTGTATAAAGACACATGGGGCTGATTGCCTTGCAGGCATAACCAGCAATCAATTTTGAAAAAAGAACCAGTTAAAAATGGTTGTCTTCATCCCACGCGGCTGGAACACAGCCTGAAAACAGCTGGATCAGTGCAGCTGGAGGTGCAAGAAAGTTTAAATGTGGTGAGGAGCAAATGATTACAGGAGATGGAAAGCAGCTGGGGAGCTGACAGAAAGACTCCATTTCACCAGTAGCAGAACTGCCTGAGAAAGCTCCCTCCTCACTTCCCACTTTTTGTTCTTTTGTTCCCTTTCTTCTGTGATGAATAATAAGGATATCAGCTGTTTGTATAGTTACATGCCAACTGAGAGTGCAGAGGGAAGGAATTGCAGCCAGATGCTAGGAAAGGGAAAGTGACCATAATAAATAGTCTTTCTTTTGAAACAGTTTGGGAGCAAGAACTCATGTCAAACCCCAGCTAAGAGATGTTATCAGGTTAGCATCTTAACTTCCTTATAAAAGTAGTGATATCAGAAACATCAAGTAGCAGTACTTGCATACAGATACACCAGTTTGCAGGAAGAAATGAACACTTGCTGGCAAACACTCCAAGTATGCAAATACCATTTACATTAGAAGCTTAAACATCTGTGGAAACTTCTGCTGACATAGTTACACTGGTTGGCTATTACATTACTGATATCGCATTCTCCAAACAGAATCTAGGAGCTCCAACAAATCTGGCTTAAGTAGTAGTCAAGATACACAAATAACCTATGGCATGTGAGCCAGCCATTTCTTAAGGATAATTTACACAAAATACCTAAAATTGCATTGAAGATTAAGTGTAATTAAAAAATTATGTGTTCAAATTACCATACCAACACAGTAACATTTCTAAATTAGGAATTTCTGTTAAGTTTCTTTAGATTTTCAATATACACAAAGGATCTGATTTTAGAAAAAGGTAGTATTCACATCCACTGTTTTACATCTGTCTTGCAAGACGGCCAACTTTCTCCCTACTGAACTGATCTGCATACACTGCAAGTCTTAATAGAATACCATCCTAGGGATTATCCAACTTAGTACTGCATACGACCTTTGGTGTAAATTTTCTGTAATACTTGGAACACTCAAGAAATTCCGAAAAGGTAAAGTAAAAATGTTCCACTATTTCAACAGGCTGAGCTGGGCAATCAGAAGCTTGTCAGCTATAAACCAGCACCAAGCAAAACAAGTAATACAAGATTTGATTACTGAATTATTAAATGGAGAAGAGTATTATACTTATCACAGTCAATAAGGATTTAATGCATATTTTCAGACACTTTTGATGAGCCCACAAGTTTTTTCTAATAAAGACAGCAATAATGACGTTACCCTTAGATATACAGTATATCACCTAGCACCTTCATTGAGAAACTAGATAGAAAAAATCATTCTAGCATATTTAAATGGAACAAAACAACAAAAAAAGACAGGTTCCAAGATATGTTTTTTTAATATAAATGATCAGTAAGTGTCTTTGATTTAGGTTCACAAGTTGTGCTAGATTTAGCTGTGGGATCAAAGAGTTTACCTGTCCACCTCTGCACCCTACACTGCATTTCGCAGGGGAACTGGAAAAGGAACTAGTGTGCCTGTTCTCAGATCCTAGAGTTTACAGTGTGATGTTTTACTATAAATATATATCACCATCTATTTGACTTCAAATGACAGGTGTGAAATGAAACAGTTCAGGAGCACACTACCTATTCCACAGCTTTCACCACAGAAACAGCAGTCTCAAGCAAGAAAATAGGACTACTGGACAGTTAATTTGATACGAGATAGCTGTGGGCCTCACAAGGTTCTGGCATTGGCCTTATGTAATTTGACTATATATATAAAATGACCTGGATGTATAATATACACTGATAAAATCTGCAGGTAAAAACAAAGGCTAGGAGATTGACAGACAATGGAGATGACATGCTACTAACACAGAACAGTCTGCACTGTTTGGTAAAAAGGGGATCAGTGATGTGCACTTCAACAGAACAAAATGTAAATGCATACCCAGGAACAAAGGCGGCATGCCATATGTGCACCACAGAGCGTGCACATCAGGGATGCTGAACTCTGATAAAAAACTAGGGACATACGTCAGGTAATAACTGGATAAACAGAAGCTTTCAGCAGAAAACTGGTTAGAATGGCTGATATGTAAACAGCAACATCAAGGAGGAACAGGGTGATTTTATTTTTGTACTTGACACAGATATGATTACTGTTCAAATGCCATGTCTAGTACTTACATAGAGCCTTCAAGGAGCATAGTGACAACATGAAGAAAGTTCAGGGAAGATCTGTGAATACGATTAAAGGATGACAAAAGAGGCCTTATACTACAGAATGCAGGGATTCAAACTATGCATTTTATCAAAGAGACAGTTTAGAATTAATTCGATCAGCCTTGTACGCATGCTGGAAAAAATGTTAATAGTGTCAGGCTCTTCAGTTTGTTACACGCTGCCACAGTTACTGGAGCACCCACCAGTGCTTCTAACAGCAGGAGCAACGCACAGCTCTGTGCCTGGGGCTTGAACATGCCCAGGGGAAGTATTGCTACAGTGTTTTCTTTTTTCTTTTCTTTAATTATATTTTTCTTCAATTAATATTTTATTTTCCTTAAATTAATATTTTTCTTTTTCTTTAATATTATTCTTTAATTATATTTGTATTATTTTATAAATTATATTT